TGGGATTATATGGGGACTATAGTACATCAAGAAGGCTAAAAGGTAACCTTTTCGGCTTTGGGGCGTTATATCGGCTGAGGGCCTGGTGGTTGTCCTAGAGCCGGTGAAACTTACGTTTAGGGTTTAGGGGTTTATAAAGGGGTTTAGGGATTTAGGGCTTAGTGTTTAGGGGTTTATAAAGGGGTTTAGGGTTTAGGGATTTAGGGCTTAGGGTTTAGGGGTTTAGGGTTTAGGGGTTTATAAAGGGGTTTAGGGTTTAGGGATTTAGGGCTTAGTGTTTAGGGGTTTAGGGTTTAGGGTTCAGGGTGCCCAAAGCGTGGCTATCCCGACTGAGCCACCCTTCAATCACGTAGAGGGGCTGTGGTCTGGGGGACTTGGAGATCAGGGGGAGCCCTTCAGTATTTCGAAGACGTCTACCGTCCGGCAACACTACAGCAACGAGGCATGAACGACAGTTGCAAGCACCACCAAAACAGCAGCCAATACCCTACACCCTGCACACAATAAACCAGACCAAACCCCAAACCTCAGACGACCAAAACAACATCAATCTATGCTCCAACGGGGCCGATACCACCCAGCGCTTCAAGCATCAGCTACCCTTCCGCAATCTTTGCAAAACCGTCTAAACCTCTGACGAAAACTCTGAGAGCCCAAGAGACCCAAACACTAAACACGGAGCCCTAAAGCCCTAAACCCCAAAAAAACCCTAAGCCCTCTAAGCCCTAGAACCCCAAAGCTGGTTTTGCGCGGCATGCGCATCCGGTGATCCTCAAGAGAGTTCGAACTCCGTCCAGAACTTCTTGCCTCGTATATGAACTGCTAAAATCGAAAGCGAGAAGCAAAGGGTTCTACAGGGGCCTTAAGCATTGCTTGAGGGAAGTACTACTCTTACAGTCGGGACACTAAAGAATATCATTGTGAGCTGGTCCGACCCCTATATGAGTCGCAGGCATCGGCAACAACTGCGACAACTGATCGAAGTGCCGGGACAGAGGGAGCTTCCGGAACGACATGAGAAGTATCAACCAAGCTGTGGGATTCGGGGCTTAAGGGTTCAGGGCAAACCCTAAACGCCTAAGGGTTTTGAAGCAATCGCGCGTCATACTCACCGGATCGGGGTGACTTCGCCAGCAGATTGCAAATAGACGCGCAAGCAGGCTTAGTCCAACTAGGGCAAGCTTAGTCACAGTCCAACTAGGGCAAGATATGTCCCAAGTGGGTAACAGAAGGACCTTAATGATTCGAAGCCGGGTTTTGGAGTGGATTGTACCTAAGTGTTCCAGGAACCCCAACTTGCAGGCTCGTGTATCTGGGAGCAGAACTACCTACAAAGTCCTGTGACCCTCCAAGCAATCTGGGGGTTTGTCGAAAATGAGGGGTACCTTGTTTAGGGGTCCATATAATAAAGATCCTACTATTAAGGGGACTTTTCGGAAACTCCCATCTGCGTAGGGCCCACGCATTATTACGATGATACCGACAAGCAGAAAAATCAACAAGTGCCTTCTGCAATCCCATATTGAGACCTTCTGCATCAATTGAACCCCAAAGAGCCCGATGCCCTGCCCCCCCCCAAATTTATGAAGATACACCGACATTATGATGAGAGGCCTCGGGAATATGACTTGATGTATATTCCCTCATGGGGTGCTCTGGGAACTGAAACCTAAACGTTGAATCGAAGAGCCAAATCCAAAACCTAAAATCCTAGAACCCTCAACCCCATCATTCGATTTCAGAGGACAAAACCACCGCCCTGAAATTAGCAGATCCTGCATCCCAGCGTTTCAGGTACACCTAAATAAGCCCCAAAGCTTAGATTCACTAAACCCCGCATCTCACATCCTCAATCTTGAGGCCTAAACCCATTATTGGCCCATGCTACAAAACGACATTCAGTTTGGCTTTGAAAGGAACATTCCGAATAAGTATTCACAATTCTGTCGTAAACCCTAAACCCAAACCTGTCTTAAACCAGACGGTCCGGAGCACTCAATCGGTTGTCAACTGAGACTTCAGAGCTCAGCCGTACCAATCACCTCGGCCCCCTTTGCTCGCACCGTCCCACGTCCTGCCTCATACTTTGGGGCCGAAAACAGTTGTTTCTTCTAGGTTTTTACGTCTGAGGTCTTGGGGCTTAAGGCTTTTTAGGGGCTAAGAGCTTCAAAATCCTCAAAGTCTACAGGGCATGTTTTACTTTCAGAGCTTGTGTTTTTTCAGCGTTCAGGGCTTCGGATTCGTTGGTAGGAGGTTTAGGGTTTTAGGGTTTTTGGGTTGAGGGTTCCGTCTTGCTTTCGGATCTTAGGAATTTAGGATAATTAGGATTAACATTGCTATAAGGCTTTATAAGGTCTTGCCGTAGATTATCTTATCAGTATAACAAGGACTCCAAGGAATACTGGTGCTAACCCTTCAAGCCCCATATTTATGTATGCATATGTAGATGTATCTATATACTATATTAGATGGAGGCACATACACACACACACACATATATATATATATATATACATACACATAGATACATATCTCTCTGTCTCTCGCTATATGTATCTAAATGTATACATTGGTTTTCCAAGGCTGGCTCAAGGTATCTAGTCTGTTCAAACTTCAACCGTCTCGATTAGACCTAAGGCTTCGTATGCCTCCAACTTAAGTTATCAATTTCAGGGCCCAGAGTCTAGACTTCAAACGGTTGACTTGAAACAGGGTAAGAGGGTTTTGGGTTTGGGGCTTTGGGATTTGGAGTCTCAGTCTTCGTGTCCTTGTATTGCGAGGGTTTAGGGTTTAGGTGTCGTTGACGATAGTTTGAACTCTAGCTGTTGGCTCCATAGCGTTCCCAAAACGGCAGGGTGCGCAGTGCGCAGAAGTCGTCAGCATCAGGTTGGCATCCCAAAGCGATAAAACCATGTATCGGCTAGTTTGCTGCTTAAACCGCCCGGGTACGTTACCTTAACCTCTTTTGCAGGGTCCTTTTTAAATTGTGAATTCCATATTAAGAAGTAGGGTTTGGTGCGTTCAGGGACTTACTCTGAACATACATGGATGATAAGCGGACTATAGAGAATCCTATTATCCCTATTGCCATGCCGAACACTGAATGCACCTCCTATGGTCGGGGTCTTTGAAGTGGCCGCGGAGATGAACAAATCAGGTAAAAGAGAGGTCTGAATCTGAATAATTAGAAATGGTATATACCCCTTCTAGGTCTGATTCTGAATCATTCGCAATCGTACCCCTTCTAGTTCCTAATCATGAAGCTTTACCATAGCAGATAGCAGTCCCACCCAAACCCAAGTCTTTCTTATCAACGAGCCTATATTGGACTAATCGTTTCAGCATCGGGTCTGGTATATCGAGGCTACATAGATTAGAGGCTCCATAGCCGTTCCTTTTTGGGGTTCATACTTAGAATCCTAAAGGGTAAATCCCAAAAAGGAACTACTATGGAGCCTATGGGTATCGGGTTGGGATGATCCCGTATCACATTTTCAGCGTAGGATGTAACACTCAACTCAAAGGCTTTTGTCGACAAGAAAAGCTCAGTCGCTAATGGCAGTTGTGTAAGGCTCTGCAGAAGTCTTGCAAGGGACCGTTAGGGTTTCTATGTCAATTACAAGGTTTTCATCTGGCTTTGTAATGCCACATATGGCCCTAAAGCTGAAGCCCGAGCCTCAAAAACAAACCTAGAGCCTCAGCTGTGAGTTAAGGCAAGGGCGAAGCTGCATTGTTATCGTCGAGATTTGTTTAATAATATTGCGGCCCTTAGGCTAAGCCCTGAACCCGACAAGCATAATAATTTAGTTGCAAGGCTGAAAACGGGGGGGTTTAGGGCCTAAACCCGAGCGTTGATTCGAAGTTCTCAAAGGTTTAGGCTGCCAGAAACTCCCTGACATGTCTTTGGGGTTCGGGGATTTGAACTTGTTTTGGTTTAGGGCTTAAGGAGTTTAGGGTTTTAGGCCTTCGGGTTTAGGTCGGACGGTTCAGGTCCGGGTGAGTACTAGCTGTTGGTGTTGCACTTGGTTAGCCGACTCGAAACCCTAAATAGGCCCTAAACCCCGTGGGCTATTCGAACCTTGCAAGCCTTGAAGGCGGCTATTCAATTACTTACTTGATTTATAGGGCACGAACCCGCACTTGATACAGACGGAAGATGCATGGAGAACTGATCTCGTAAAGAGTGAGCTCCATACGTGCGCGAATTCGGATGGAAACTAAGTTCTTTGCTGCTGTAATACACAGAGCGCAAGCCGGCTGAGATCATGTTGTATGATCCCTTTACAGGGATCGCTGAGTTCCCAGGGGCTCCGTGAACCCTTAACCCGAACTGTGAACCTTGAACACCAAACCCTAAACGCCAGACCCGTAACCCTGAACCCTAAGCCTAAACCTGGACCCTGACTCGTCTACCCCTAAGCTCTTAACCCTAAGCCTGAACCTAAGTCTTGAACCCTAAGCCCCTTAGCCCTGAACCTTAAACACTTCAAAAAGGACCGCTGAGCTCCCCCAAAACCTTCAAAAAGAGGGATCTCGGGGATCCAAAACCCAACCCAAACCCTAGAGGCTCCTTCTGATAAGCTATGGGTTTAGGGGGTTTGGCGGTTTAGGGGTTTAGGGGTTTGGGGGTTTGGGGGGTTAGGGTTTAGGAGTTTAGGGTTTAAGTCGACCCTAGTCATGCAGTATAGGGGCCTTAGAAATCAGATTAAGGCTTGGGTGTGGGATCCAAATTAATTTTAGGATAGCTATGATAAGGAGCCTCAACGAATACCCCAAGGGTCCAAGTATCTAATAATCATATACTCTCCAAAATCCAAACCTACATAACTACTATCCTAAAACCGACTACCTAATTATTGTGTCCTTTGGACCCTTGGGGATAATGTTGGTAATTACTCAGGCTTCCACCCCAAACGCAGAACTTTAAACTTCAGCACCCCAGGGCGCTCAGCATTCCCCGAGCCTTCCTCTTACTCTGGCTCTCCACTTGCTCGATGGGATCAGACTTTCACGACCATCCCAACCACGACGGTGATGTCATCCATCTTGCCGCCCATGTGCCTGGCTTGGGAACTTTTTTATAGGGTTTAGGATAGCTTAGGGGGTAGGATGTAGTGCTTCGGGGCCCTGGACCGAAGACATCCTATATCCCAGGAGGCCCTGGGCTTAGGCTTGCGGAAATGTCAAGGGATGTATAGGGTTTAGGGTTTAGACTCCAATAGCCCTAAACTAAGGAAGGCCCAGGGTTCCTGTAAGGGATCTATGATACTGGATTCCAAAAGAAGGGCCTTGAAATCTCCGGAAGTCGCCAAGGTGAGGTCTAGCGGGATTGATAAGCTTTTTGTTGGTTGATGCACTGGTAGACGGCAAAACTCAACTTCTGAACAAGCACCACCTCCATCAAGCAAAACACCCCTAACCCTAAACCCTGAACCCTAAACCCTAAGCCGTGTAAACCCTGAACCCCTTTTCAAGGTCCGAGCTGCTGGAGCCCGGCACTGCGCGCGCAGTGGCCGAATGGGGTCTTCGCCGAGCTGTCCTGCACCAGAAAGGGTTCAGGATTAGGGGTTCAGGGGTTTAGCGGTTAGGGTTTAGGGTTTATATAAACCCCAAGAGGGAGGGTCTGGGATTTAGTTTGTGTTCGCATGTGCTACTTTGTTTTGGGGGTCGGGGAAGTGTAGGGCTCAAAGCCGAGGGCTTTGCTTGAGCCCATCCTGACACCCGAAGTGTCAAGCATGAAACGTCTCGACATCACATGACCACAAAATACACCTTCTCAAAACCAACCTCCACATCCGAAAACCAGCCATAGACTGGCAGCTTGACACCAAAATCCCCACGAGCGGCATCAGCTTTGCCCCTAAAACTCCGAACCTTAGCCTCAGCACCAGCCCGCTAGTGTAGAAAACCCAACCTAGAACCCAAGTATAGCCCTAATCTCTGGAAATCCCGATACCCTAAACCCTAATCTCACTAAATCCCGAAACCCTAAACCCTCATCCCCTCTAAACCCTCATCTCTCTAAGCCATAAACTCCCCAAACCCTCTAACCTCTCATCCCTCTAAGCCCTATAATCCCTACCTTCACCCTAAAACACCTATTTCTTAAGGACTTATATCAAGAAAGAATATTTGGGAACCCTAAAAAGTAGGCTATTCGGGGTCCAGGCAGACCCTAAAACCTCCGCATCGCGAGCGCGCGCCTGCGAACGCGCCCGTGCGGCTTCGGCAAAGGCATGGGCCAGCCTGGTGGGACTTTTTGTGTTTTCGGGTTTAGTTTTGGTTTTTAAGGGCTTAGTGTTTTTTGCTTTAGGTTTAGGGTCTTTTAAGGTTTAGGGCTTTTGTTTACGGTGGGGTTAGGGTTGAAGGCTTTTAAAGGGTTTAGGGGTTTAGGGGGTTTAAGGGTTTATAGGGTTTGGAGGACTTTGAAGGTTTAGGGTTTAGGGGTGTGGGTGTAGGGTTTGGGGCTTAGGACGTTAAGGTTTGTACGGCTTCACGTTTCGTTTGTTTGTGTCATGTCAACGCTTGGGGTTCCAGGGACTAGTTTTAAACATCTAGGGTTGCGGTTGAGGTTTAGGGGGTCAGCCCAGATCACGATGTAAGGGTAGAGTCGCGGGCTGTTGTTTGAGGGGTTGATGTTTAGGTTTGGGGTTTGAACTGTATAACTATATAAGCATAGTTGTCGGAAGCCCCAGTTACTACGCCCTGTGATCCCAAGTCGAAAATCCTGTTACCTGAAGCCAAATCCCACACTTTGGATCAAGCCCGCAAGCGAGCACTAACCCCATAAACCCTTAGACCCTACCTGTCGGGCGAAATGCCTATGACCCTCACAACTGTATGACACAGCCCGTCAACAAATCATCTTGTTGGATCCACAGGAATAATTACCGCAGGCCCTATCCGCCGAAAAGTAGAGGCGATGCCAGCACCTTCGCATCTCGAAGACACACCAACTCAATCTCAGAGCTTCGAAGACTTATGCTTCGGCCGCTGAGGAGAGAGACCTGCACGTCCATGCTGTTACACCTATGTCTCGGTGTGCGAGCTACTAGGTGTGATGTCTGTCGCCTCGATGCTGCTGCGCGCGTGCCACCTATGCTGCCTTGTGCCTTGTGTCATTGTCATGTCCTGCGTTGCGAACAGCCGGGGCCGGCGTTGGGGTTCGGGGGCTCGTCTTCCACACATCGAAATCGCATGAGTCATCATGAGTGCGACTCTGAGTCACCCTTGGGAATTGCTTTTGCTGCAGTTCGACGAGCAGCTGCCGGTGAATAATGCAGTCATGCCGTTACAAAACCCGAAGGACCCAGTAGAATCCCTTATGCAACAACATAGAGCCCTTGTACACGACCTCGAACAATCCGATAAGCCCTCGAGCACCGGATTGTTCAATCCCAAACCCCAACCTAACGCCAATTATTTCCCTAAGCCCCAAACCCCTAAGACCCAAATTTTCCTAAACCCCAAGACCCTAAACCACAGATCCCGAAACCCTAAGATCCCACCATATTCTGTTTTCCTAAAACTCTAAACCCTAAACCCTAAGATCCAAAACTTCTCAAACTTATGCGCACCTGGCTGAAGATCCAAAAATCTCCCTGAACCCTAAACCCTCAACCCCCATAATCCCTAAGACCATATGACCCCAAAATCTCCTTAAACCCTACACCCAAAACCCCCAAAATCCCTAAGACCCTAAGACCCAAAAATCTCCCTGAACCCCTACGCCCACCTGGCTGGATCGATCGACCAAGCCGTAGCTTTCCTCAGCAGAAAAAAGCGCTGGAAGTTGGTTTGGGGTGGCCTTACTTGGAGGGTCGGGGGACTTAGTAAGTCAGTAATAAGCAGAGTTCTAAGTACCCTAAAAGGGACCCTAAGTGGGGTTATGGTACTTATAACTCTCTAAGATAACTACTTAGTAAGTCCCCCGACCCTCCAAGTACCCACAGGCCCCATAGTAGCTCCTTTTTGGGATTACCTTATAGGATTCTATATATGAACCCTAAAAGGGAACTACTATGGGGCCTCTGGGTACCGAGTAGAATCGGGTTATGGAGGGTATGCAATAGTATGACTGTGTAGGGCTGGTTTGGGGGTATAGGGTTGACAGGGTCGAGGGTTTAGTGTTTTGGGGGTTAGGAGTTGAGGCGTTGAGGAGTTTTGCATTGGAGGGTTTAGGGTTTGGGGTTGAGGGGTTTAGGGGTTGAGGGGTTGAGGGCTTAGGGGTTTAGGGTTGAGGTGTTAAGGGTTGACGGTGCAAGGCTTTGGGTTTAGGGTTTAGGGGTTTAAACGGTTAGGGTATAGGGTTCAGGGTTGTCAGGGCTTATACTTCAGCAGCTGAAGATTTCGGGCTTTGAGGTTTTCGGGCCTGAGGGTTGATTTTAGACCGCAAGCCCCAAACCAGGGCTTTGGAATTAGTTGTTTTCAGGACTATACCATGATGGCCTCAATACCCCTACTTACAGCTCTACATCTCGCCTACTCACAAGACCTGGAACGCTTCTGGCTTCTGGCCCCGTACTAGCTGTGATTTGAGCACGCAAACCCTGAACCCTTAACCAAATCTGGCTCGATTCGTACATGGAGAGGATTTGCTCTTCTGTCTGAAGGAAAGGAAACCCACACTCAGCCTTAAACTCAAACTAAGCCCCAAGGCTTTACCCCAAACCCTAAACCCTAAAGCTCTAAACCCCAGAACCCTAAACCTAAAATCCTAAACCCTTTCTAATCGCCGGAGCACTCTCTGTTGCGAAATGCGGCCTGGCAAGAAGTGGGCTGCTGACTGGAGGATGGGGAGCAACACCATCATGGTTCTGAGTCTTCTTCCCGCGGATCATCGGGCAGTATATATATATATATATATGTATATATATATATATATATGTATATATATATGCTGGAAATACAGCATTCGGCTTCCCATGATGATGATGATGATGATGACGGCCACAGCAAACATGACAACCCAGAGCACAACACTGGTGACGAAGAGAGTCATCCTGCACACAGCCTTCAGCAGCCGCCGCAGCTCTAAATATCGGAACAAGTGCATGCACAACTGAAACGAGCTGAGTGGTAGTGACTTGATAGTTGTTCTGGTCGTTGCTCTTCTTGGTCTCAGGAAACTTTCTTACAGATGTTGGTTCGAATGTCGCCGTGTTTGGGAGACTTGGGAGCCTGGTAGCTGCTGCTGATGTTGATGAAGGCGGAACATGATGCTGCAGCTTCGAATGCGCTGATGATGGTCCAACGGATGCAACACGCGATCACGGAAAATATGCTACTGACGGGGAGCTGGAGGCGCCAATGACGACCCTTGTGGTAATAAGCGTGAAGGCCAGTGACACGAACATAAAGCGGTTATGTGGTGACGTTGTCGATGGACGGTGCTCCTACTGCTGATGCTGGTGATCGTGATGATGGCGATGGCAGGGGCGATGGTGATGATCATCATTCTGTTCATGAAGGTCGTGGTGCCCTCTGACCCATCTCGGCTAGAAGCTTGATGCAGCTTCGGGCGACGTCTGGCTGTTGTCAGACATGCTATGACATGTCACTATGGTAAGCCCCATGCTCAAGCTTTAAACCCTAGAGTGATAACCACCCCATGAAGAGAGCATCAGAAATGGGAGAAACACCTGTATCGACTGTATGTAGTGGGTGGGTCTTTCATGATACAAGAACCCCAAAAGGGACCCACGCTCCCTGGCCTCCAATGGAGCCTGCGCCAACTCGCACACCTGGCGCCCAATAGATCTCCTAAAGGATTCTTAACTGAGCACTAGGGTTCTTGCGGAGGGGTGTGCGGTTTTGGAATTTAGGACGTTTGGGCTTTGCGGCTTTACAATCGGGGATTTGGGTCGCAAGGACTGGATGTGAGAAGGGTTTTGGGTTGGTTCGGAAGACTCATATAGGGTTTAGGGTTTTGCTGTACCAGGTGCCCTATGACACGGCTAAAACAACTTCGAACAAAGACAAAGTGAGCAGATTGTACTGGTGAGTACCAAGGTCACTGCTGGCTAGCTACTGTTGCTAAGAAGGGTTACGGGTTAGTACTTCTGAAGAGGCGTAGTTGTAGCCCAGCTCGTTGGCAGACTTGGTGTTGAGCCTCCAAATCCGTTCGTTCGTCCCCTCGATGCTGTCGTCACCGCGTGCCTCCACTGATATTCCTTGCGAGAAGATCTTTCCTCGGTGCATGTCTGCACCCACCATGGAGGGTCTATCGGGGATGCTCTGCGCTCCTCGATGATGCCGTTCAGGTCGCCGTTTGAGACCTCGGGCTTGAGGCTTGGGGCGTAGGACCATGCCGTAGCCTGAATTCAACAATCTTCCCTAAGCCTCCTGCCCCGCCCCCACCTCGATGTCACAAGAAGCCCTCAGCCCTAACAGCCAGCCCCGAAACACTGAACATTGAAAGCCGTGAAGCAAAAACACGGAAACCTCTGCACACTGAGACCTTGCACCCCTTAAGCCCAGAACCCAAACCCTGCAAACCTACGCCCAAAGCCTAAACCCGAAACCCTTATTAAAGCCTTTACCGCCAAAAACCTCCAAAACTCTGAAAAGGCAGACAAACCCTAAACACTAAACCCTAAACCCAAACCCTAAACCTAAACTTTAAACCCAAACCCTAAACCTAAACCCTAACCCAAAACCCTTCAAACCCCAGCAGACTCCCCCTTCACGGTGCGGCCTCGTGGTCGTGAAGATTGTCAAAAACGCCATCGGTACCAAGCAGCAGCACGTCTCCCTCCTGTACCTGCAGAGGGTCTATAGGAATCAGGGGTTTAGGGTTCCCCCAGGGTCCTAGCCACGTAATGATGAAGTTTCGGACTCTTCTGACAGAGGTTCTAAATACAAGGGTTCTTTACAGGGTTATTTATAGTGCCATATTTGGGAGTTTCCGAAAATCTACGTGTTCAGGGAAAGGATTTCAGGCTCATAGGGTTTATGGGTTTATGAGCTTTAAGGTTGTGGCGATTACGGTTGATGTCTGGGTTCTGGTTCAGCAAACAAACCGAATGCCCTCATTTCGAACAGGCAGTGAGAGTCTTGCGATGAACAACTGTCTGGTTCCTGGTAGGGAATGGGGGAATGGGTTATGGGGACTAAATACCCGGGACTGCTATAGGGGACCTTAAGGGACTATCATAGGGATCACTTCCCCCATTCCCTACTAAACTAAGCACAGAGGAGACAATCCCCCTGATTCGAAACAATGTCCAGCGCCGCTGACCCTGGACTAAACGACTCCCTCAGCAAATCCTCACCCACCTGCCTCTGTCCATTCTGTGCATGTGGTGTCACGACACCAATCCATTACCTTAAAGCCCAAACCCCATGAACCCGAACCCAAAGCACTTAAACTCCGAACCGCCAACACCATCCCTTCGACAGACAAGACTCTTATCGAAGTCTTTTCAAACACTCCCAGCAACTCGCCATCGAAGACCAAGGATTTTATCAGATCAAACTTACCCTAAACTACACCCGACCTGGTAAGCCCTAAACTTGAAATCCCGGACGACTGACGGAACCTAGAGATGATCCTCTATAGATCTACATGTGGGTAGTTGTCAAAATTATGATTCCTTTTTGGGTACCTAAATATTAGGTGCCGTACTATACTAAGGACACAAAAAGGGGCCCTAATTTTGACAACCACCCATATATGTTCCTGTTGACCGCAGGCTGACAAGGCGCCTCAAAGGTGTAAGTGTCCGCATCGCATGGCGTGTCCTGCCGACGGCGGGAAGAAAGGGTTCCGGATCTTGAGATCAGGTTCCCAAAGCAAACTCGACACCCTCTACCCTTTGGGGCCTTGTGTCAGCACGAAGCAAACAACGGTGGACCCGAAACCTTAACCCGGGATTGGCCCTTTAGCTTCTGTATGAGTGATTGTAGGATTTCGGGTTCTGAAATCGCTGAGGAGTAGAGGAGGGTTGCCCCTTGAGACTGCGCCGGAGATTACATGGGGTACCTCAAGCCAAATCTCGAGAAGCAGAACTGTGGCGCCGTGTCCGTTGTCTTTCCACTACGGTACTGTAATGACAACCCCAACCTCCACACCCTTACTGCACTGCGACAACAACCCCCTTCCCTGAGAGCGAAACAGATGATGACCAACCGTTCATACCACATTACCCTCCTCGAATGCTCCGAAATTCGCGGCGCAGCACGTTCTTGGGATGCAGGAATGAATTTGGCTCAGTTTTCGGTGAAAACATCTACAGATTCGAACTCGGAGACTTGCACAGAGCTTCTTTCAACATGCAAGTAGGCCTCCCCAAAGACGACGCGCTAGTGTGATTGAAACCATGATGTTTCGACATCTGCACCTGTAGTCCCAAAACCCTACAAGCTTGTAGACTGCGACCCCTTCAATGAGGGTGGAACCACCAGTGATAACCGCACGTGGACCGGGGTTAACGCCGAGATTGATGCAAAGCCCGGTTGTGCCGCCTGCTTCGCAGATCCAGACTTCTCGACAGCCTGGCAGTATCCCGGTAAGGGTCGCAAGGACCTGATGATTAAGTACCTCTTCCCCAACAGTATGTAAAATAATATTATAGGTGTTGGGCAATTACTTTGCCTACTCAGTTTAGGTTCGGTCTCTGTAGGATTGCTACGGTGTAATTGGGAGAGTGACGAGCATCAGGCACTGTGACCCTTCACCTAACCCAAACGCCGATATACCAGAAACCCCAAATCCCCAACCGAAGGTCTAAAGCTACCAGGGCCCCCCCAAGTGCCCTTGAATAATTACAACCTTATGGCCTTCATCGTGGGTATTTAGGGTATAATTCGGGGGTCTAGGTCAACCCTAAACTCGAAAATTCAAACACCGCCAGGACTTGGCTGCCTAAACGGTCTGATACGAAAATCATGGATTTACGGTTTTGGGTTGAGGGCTTGGCTGATAAGCCATGAACTTTCAAGCGCATGGGTTCAGGGCTTACGCTGCAGGACATACGAATCGCTTTCAGGTTCATCTCGAAATTGCCCAGCCAGCCCATATCTATGCTTATATCTATATCGAGGCCGATATCTATTGAACATATCTATGATGGTCGTTGCGACTTAAAGCCTTTCATGTGTGCGACCTCAGAGCCGTACAAGTTTAGAGATAGAGCAAACACAGAAGAGGATCCGACCAGCTTCATGTGCACAGACTCCACAAGCTGCAAAAAAAACCCAAACCTCAACTTAGTGCCGTAAGCCCTCAGTACAGGATTACTAAGTTACCTACTATGAGATTTGTTACATATATGGGTTACAAGAGGTTTCAGGCATCATGATTTGGCGTTTGGGGGTCGGGCTTCTGGGTTCATACATGTGCGAAACACCATTTTCGCTTGACCAGCCCGGGGCAACGAACCCACGACAGACTTTTGTGGGAGTTTCCGAAAATTAGGGGTACCTTGTTCTGGAATCCTTAAAATAAGGATCCTACTATATAGGGTACTATATTGGGGTCCTCGTCCCCTATTTTCAGAAACCCCCATTCCCAGAGACTCCAATATCCCTCAAATTAAGGAATATACCTTAAAGCTTATTAGGGATCCTACTATAGTTGCAGGTATTTTCCATAGTTAAGGGATATTGGAGTGTATACCTGAACATGCGAACGGCCTTCACCAGGGAATTCAATCCCTGTGCCCGCAGATCCGCGTAGTCCTGTTGCGGGGAAGTCGCTGGATGACAGGCAGTATACTTCCCAAAGGGTCCAAGTGGTAGGCATAGTATATACTTGGGAGCCCAAACTCTCTACTAAGTGCCTACTGTAATGGTACTTGGACCCTTTGAGCTTTGAGGATCATGGGACTTAGCACGTAAGGATAGAAGTAACTGACGTAGGCTTGTAAGTACTGTATATAGCTACCTCATTTATGCCTGGCTACTGAGTTAATGACCCTCAGGGTCTCATGAGGTTCGAAGCCCTACGCCCTACGGGAGTGGGGACGCGGGCTGTAGGGATTCGGGCTGCAGGTTCGTACAGCAGCTCCACTTCCTGCTATGAATGAAGGCCCCTTGTATTCAGCTATAGGTTTCAAGTCTACAAGTAAACGCAAAGCTGTTGGTTTTGAGAGGAACGGCTTGAAGCCTTCGGCTTCGCTTAAGCGAACCCCTAAAAACCCCGATGACTCGACTCCAGGGCTCTGGACCTCAGAGTTCGAAGCCGGACCGAACCCTAACGTAGAAACAGAAACTCCACAAAGTAGTATAACCTGCAGCCGAAACCGAAGATGGTATAGCTCAAAACCATCACCCTAACCTATCAACACAAAAAGAACATCCCTAGTAATGACCCCGACAAATGGCGCCGACCCCATACCGGAACATGGAAACTAAGCGCTGGAATGCACGGCGATCAACACTGCTATCCAATTATGGTGGGATTATATACAACCCACAAGGTTAAAGGTTGCCTACTCAGCTCCTAAGACTCGAAGAACGCATCTGTAATCACAGCAACCCTCCAAGTTGAGAGCCATCACCACACCACAGGAATAACAATCAAGACAAAACTAATGTTAATGACAGAGAACACCCGCGATATAGTCACAGCGCAAAGATGCAACTCTAAAGAAGGCTTCGAACTCAATGTATGTAGAGCCCAAACGCATCGCACAACCTTGATGCCACTATGGACTGTAATGGTGCGAATGGTGTCACAGCTAAAAACAGGAAAACCTTAAAGCGAACAACATTGAAACACTGACGCTACTATTACTAACAAACACCAACAAGCAAAACACACCCACACACGCACACAGACACAGACACAGACACAGACACAGACACAGACACAGACAGAGACAGAGACAGAGACAGAGACAGACACACACACACACACACACACACAAACAAACACACACACACACACACACACATATATATATATATATATATATATATAGACAGACACTCGCACACTCACACACATGCAGACAGACACACACACACACACAAACACAAAAACACACACACACACACACACAAACGCACACACACACACAAACAACTGCACACAGGCATACCCACGCGCAAACAAACAACAACAAATAACGATTAAATAACGTGTAGTCACAACATCACACGAACAACAAGCCCAAACAAACAACACACACGACTAACACCCACCCACACACACATTAAACAACACACACAGACACACCAAAAAAACAGAACAAAACAAAACCTAATCCCTAAACCCTGAACCCTAAAACCCTACACCCTAAACCCTTAAACCCTAAACCCTACACCCTAAAGACGAGACCCTAATCCCTAAACCCTCAACCCCAAAGACTAAACCCTAAACCAAAAACACACTGCAAAGAAGACATGGCCCAGCCGGCCTTCGGCTCTGGGAGACGAGCCAACTGATAGGGGCAGTTGAAGGCATGTTGCTGCTCGCAGGTGCCTTTGGGGCTCTAGGGCTTTAGGGGTTTTAGGGATTTTAGGCGTTAGGGGTTTAGGGATTAGGGTCTTTTGGGGCTTTTGGGGCTTTTGGGTTTAGGGGGTTTAGGGGTTTTAGGCTTTAGGGGTTTGGGCCCCTTTTAGGGTTTTAGAGCTTTGGGGCTCTAGGGCTGTCGGGATTAGGGTCTTTTGGGTCTTTTAGGGCTCTGGGGTTTAAGGATTAGGGTCTTTTGGGTCTTTCGGGGCTTTAGGGCTTTAGGGTTTAGGGTTTTAGGGGTTTTAAAAGGGCTTTCGTTATAGTAACCCTCACAATAACCCCTTCTAATAACCCTTAAGTCACCCTCACAATATCCCTTGAGTAACTCTTACAGTAACCCTTAAGTAACCCTTATCATCACCCTTAAATAGCCCTTCTAATAACCCTTATAATCACCCTTATTGTAACCCTTGTGGTATCACCCTAAGTGACACTTACTGACCCCTAAACTTAGATAGAGGCTGAGTATCCAAGCCTAAACGCGGTTATATAACCTTTTCAAAGGTTTATATACGTCCCAACAGGTTAAAGATTACCTGCTCAGCTATCTAGGTTGCTGGGTAGCCCCTTGATACTGAAGATGCCTTTTTTTCTATTATTCTGGTCTCGTAAGGGGACTCCCCAAAAATGGCCAAAAGGGTACTACTCAGGAACCTAGTCTACTCCCTTAACGGAGCCCCTGAGGGACCCGTAAAATTAGCCTGAAGCAACCCTTACAAGGACCCTTAGGTAACGGAGCTCTTAAGGGACCCTTATAATCACCCTTAAAGGAACACCTAAACCGTATAAATCCAAAAAATCCTAACAAGCCAAAAGCCTTTCCCTCTAAACCCTAAAATCTAAACCCTAAACCCTAAACCCCTAAACCCTAAACCCTAAACCCCTAAACCCCTAAACCCTAAACCCTAAACCCTAAACCCCTAAACCCCTAAACCCTAAACATTAAAGGGAGCTCTTGAAAACAAGAAAACCCTGAGCCAAGCCGCGATGGGCCACGAAAACGCCAGGGCTTTGGTCGGTGCACTCGCTGGGAGACTTCCAGCGCAGCACCCTGCAGGGGTTAGGGGTTTAGGGGTTAGGGGATCTTTAGGATTCCTTTAGGGTTCCTTTAAGGGATCTGTAGGGTTTAGGGTTAAGGGGTTTAGGGGCTTAGGCTGCAGGGGTTAGGGGTTTAGGGGTTAGGGGTTACGGGTTCAACGGTTCAGGAGTTTAGGGTTTAGGGGTTTAGGGGTCTAGGGGTGTAGGGTTTGGGGGTTTAGGGCTTAGTGCTGACTCTAGGATATTTAAAGCCCGTAGAGTGTAGGGTTTAGGGGAGATTTTGTGATATATTTTGAGGGTTTCGTGTCTTTTGGGGTCAGGGTTTCTCTAGGCTTTACTGTGATGTTAGGATGTTTGAGGCTTTATGGTCTTTGGGGTTTAAAGCTTTAGGGCCTTTTGGGTTTAGGGTCTTTTGGGTTTAGGGCTTTTGGGTTTAAGGGGGGTTTAGGGTCTTTTGTGTTTAGTTTAGGGGACTAGGGTCTTTCTGGTTGAGGGCTTTAAGGCCTCTTGGTTTTAGGGTTTTATCTTCTGGGTTTAGGGCTTTAGGGTCTTTTGGGTTTTAGGGCGTTAGGGGTCTTTTGTAGTTAGGGTGTTTAAGGCCTGTTGGGTTTTTAAATTTCCAATCTTTTGGGTTTAGGCTTTAGGGTCTTTGGGGTTTACGGGGTTGAAGGTCTTCGGGGTTTGGGGTTTAGGGTCGTCAGGGCTTCGGGTCTTGAGGGCCTGTAGGGCTTTAGTGTTTCAGATGCTTTGTTCAGGCTTTTCAGTTGGGGGGTTAGGGCTTTAAGGACTCCACAAGGGTTCTGAGTTCCTACAAAGGTTACTATGTGGGCTATTTGTAAGTGTGCTACAAGGATCCACGAAGTCGCTTTGCATCTGGCAGCTACGGTTTCAAGTTTAGGGTCTAGGATTCAAGGGCGCCGGGTAGTTGGTCCTGTGCTCGCGAGCTTTTTCGGCAGGGTCTTCCTAGTGTACGTAGAGGCCACTCACTGAATCCAATCTTCATAGCTGCTGCCATCACCGTAGCTGACGGTCCAGTCGACCCAGCCCTCCCGAGCCTCCCATTCTTACTCCGAGCCTTTGCCCTTCTTCGCTGTCGTTCCAAGGACGCCTTTACCAGGCTGTTGGCCTTTCGCCGTCATCATCCGTGCCGTTCTTCTTTTCTGGCATCTTCTGCTCCACTGAAGCCTCCCAAAGCTGCTTGCGAGCCGCAGCCACTTCCTCTTTGGTGTTGCACCATTGTCCTCCTGACTTCTTGTAGCCATCCACCACGGATTAAAGAGGTCTCTTCTCTTTATTGGTGTGTCGTCTGGTCCTTTGCCGATACCTCCCTTGCCGTCGTTCTTGCCACCCACAAACCGAGATTGTCTTGAAAAACTGTAAACCCACCCCCCCAAATCCAAAACCCCAAACCGAGATGCAGGGGCGGGAAGATTTAGGGCTTACATAGGGTTTAGGGGGAAGTGCTTATCCCGTAGATTGAGATGCCCAGCTCAAGGAGCTATGATCTCCCGAGCTGTCCTTGGCCTGAAGCATAAAGCTTGCCGCCTTCAGTATTTCGGAAGCTACAGGCGAGGGAAGAAACCGAATGATACAGGGGCCCTTAATATCTACCTATACGATTTTTGGAGGTTCCATATTATAACCATAATATCATACGCCCGAAAGAAAAATTGCTTCAATGAATAAGGCTCCTATAATATCTGCAGATGGTGCCAAGATGAATTGTGGTTACATCACGTCAATCATTGCTTCGCGAAGGTGGCAGAAGCGAACTTGGGCGCCTGAATAGCAAGGCATATATTTGGAGTACGGTGGTACTGAGAAACTTGCCGCAAACTCATATATAATCGTAAGGCCCCCCTAGAAAGAGTTGAAGGGATGCTGAACCCTCGCGGCCTCAGCCCGGAATCGCCAAGGTTCCTGGTAAGAGTGCAGGATCGGGAGAGAAAGAGTAAGGCATGGGTCTTATGTTAAGTAAAGCTTAAGTTTTGGGGTTTAGGGCCTTCTAGGCTTTAGGGTATCAGGGCATAGGGATATCATCTCTGGCTTGCGGCGTTATGCTCAATGTTTCATCAAGGTTTGGGGTTATCGGCTTTAGGAACATACCATACCCTATCGGGCTTTCAGTCTAAGCAGTTATCGGGCTCGGGGTTCGGCTTCTACAACCCTGAACCCTAACCGCGGAACCCAAAATTGGTGGGTGAGTGCTTACACAGTTATGGCATTCAAAGTCATGAAGAGAGCTATAAGTGGCATGCTACAAACAGGCTAGGCCCGACTTTGGTGTGCCGAATCTCGGTTTTAGGGTTTAGGATTCAGAGTTTATGGTTTCAGGGCTCTATATCCCTACTCTGCTGTAGCACTTCCATATCCTACTCATCAACTTCCCCCTATCCTCCAATGAGAGGGACACCTCAACACCTCGTGACCGCATCCGCCAAGTCTCGGGTAAGCTTGTAACCTAAACCCGGCATCAGGCACAGGGGTGTACCATAGGGGCCTTAACACTTTGCTATACTATTTTGGGGGTCCTTTATTTTAAAAGTTATAGTATAATGGACTCCAAAACCTTATTGTAACTATTAAGGCCCCTTTCTTACTGGGGTATATGGGGGCACCTTGGACTAAACAACACAGGTTCCTGAAGCAGACTGCGAGATGGATTGCAATAGTCAGTCAAACAAAGATGCCACACCACCCACAATCCTGGACTCGAACCTAAAACATAAACGAACTCACCAAACTAGCAACTGAAATCAGTGCCTTTATCTCCAGGAACAGCCCATGTGTGCAGCCCCTGCCCGAAACTCTACCCCACCTAAACCCTTAACCCTCAACCCCAAAACGTAGGCGCCCTCATCCTGAGACGTCAACCCCTGGTCCACAACCGCCTAAGCCCCGAAACCCCTGAACCCCAAAGCCTGAAACTTTCAAACTGCACCAAACCCTATAAACCCCGAAACCCTAAAATTTAAATCCCTAAACCCCTAAACCCTATATAATATAATCCCTAAACCCTACTAATCCCTAAACCCGAACCCCGCTCAAAACTGCGTGACAAGGCTCGCCACGCCCAGCTTCGGCTGGCCGGTCGGATCCAAGGCCGCCACGAGGGCCGTGGCGGAGCCGAAGGAACGCGTGGTCTGCAGAACGGTTTCGGGGGATTGGGGGTTTAGGGGTTTAGGGGTTTAGGGTTTAGGGTTTAGGGGTTAGGGGTTAGGGGCTTGGGGTTAGGGGTTTGGGGGGGTTCAGGGGGTTTGGAGTTTAAGGGTTTAGGCGTTTAGGGGTTTGGGGTTTCTGGGTTTAGGGTTTCGGGGTTGAGGGCTTTTGGGGTTTAGGAGGGTTGGGGGGGAAGGGGTACAGGGTTAAGGGGTTTCGCGGCTTCGGGGAACTAGGGTAAACGAGCTTTTGAGAATTTGGGCTCAGGGTTTGCCCCAAGCGTCCAAAGGACCCAATAATCAGGTACTCGGTTTTAGGATAGTAGTTATGTAAGTGATTATTTTGGAGCGTATGTGATAATTAGGTGCTTGGACCCTTAAAGTTAGGCTTGAGGGTATTGAACATGAGTCCTAAACCTGTTTTTTATCCTAAACCCTGACTTGACTCATGTAGCCGCCTTCAGAATTAGAATAGGCCTTCGGTGTCTATAACACTACAAGCACTACCAAGGGGTATCAGAAAAAGGCCCCACCTGTCAGCGTTCAGAAAGCTTCCTCAACCCTGACACAAATCCGAAATCCGAAACCCCGGAACCCTCACTCCAAACCCTAAGCCCCAAACCCCATGGTGACCCTTGATAAATGGGAGTTTCCGAAAACTAGGGGTACCTTATTTTGGGATCCTTACAATAAGGATCCTACTATCTAGGATACTAGATTTCGGAAACTCCCAAATAGTATATAACCCGAAACAGCAATGTTGAACCAACAGAGGAAGCCTTCTAACAAATTGAGAAGACCCTTAGGGGCTCCTTTTGAGGGATCTATGGGGGTTCCTTTTAAGGGCGCCTTTTAAGAGATCTATAGGGGGTTCCTTTTGAGGGCCCCTTTAAGGGATCTATAGGGGGATCCTTTCAAGGGTCCCTTTAAGGGATCTATAGGGGGTTCCTTTAAGGGTCCCTTTAAGGGATCTATAGTGGGTTCTGGGTTCCTTTAAGGGTCCCTTTAAGGGATCTATGGGGGCTTCCTTCGAAGGACTCCTTGTTGGAGCCGCCCCGCCTTGTAGCCCTCAGAGAGCATCAGCTTAGCTCGAGATTCGGCTTCCAGGCCTGCCTGTTTCTTGCAAGAATTCCTTAGGGTGTTAGGGTTTAGGGTTTTAGGGTTTTAGGGTTTAGGGGTTTTAGGGGTTTTAGGGTTTTCGGGTTTTAGGGTTTTCGGATTTAGGGCTTTTAGGGTTTTGGGTTTTAGGGTTTTAGGGTTTAGGGTTTAGGGTTTTATGGTTTTGGAGTTTTAAGGTTTTAGGGTTCTAGGGTATAGGGTTTTAGGGTTTGGGGTTCTAGGGTTTAGGGTTTTAAGGCAAGACTTCACAGCCCCCCAACACGAAAAACAACAGGGATTAGGTTTGGGTTTAGGTTTTAGGGCAATGACCTTCGGTTCACTCAGCACCTACTTCTGAGGGGAGTGCAAAACTTTTAGGGTTTTGGGCTTATAGAGTTGTCGTAGGGTGAAACGGCTAAGTTTAGGGTCTAGGGTCTGCGGCAAGGAACACAGGAAATTAAGGAGATTAATGATAACAGTCAGAAGAACGAGACTGGTAGTAATAATGACAAGAAGAAGACTAGCCAAAAACAAACAAAAACATGGTAGTCATGACAATAACAGCAAAATCAACAACAATGGCAATTAAACTGGACACGAACATGATAGTGATATCGAACATGATACCGGCAAAAGCAATGATAATGATAATTATACACAGAAGCTTACTAATCATGGCCTTGGTACGGTATTGTTGAAACATTTAGTCGTAATCATGGTGTTATCAACCGCATCTTCCGGAACTCGACAGGCATGAGCAACCTAGGATAGGGTTTAGGGTCTGTAGGGCTTACAGGACGTCGTAAGCCTCAAATGCAGAAACCGGTTGCCGGGTTCAGCATTTACGGCTTCTGGTTCGAAGTTTGGACGCATACACAAACCCCTAAGCCCTACTCGTCGAGGTTCAGAGTTGTTGAGGACTTCGACGGTGGGCTCAAGGGGACGTTCCTCCAAGCCGAACCGGACATTCTTGCAGACTTTGTTCGTGGATGTCCAAAGATGAGGATCAAGGTGAGGGTCGTACGCTTGCGTGTTGCAGGAACGGCTGCTTCGATAGCCTCACGTGGAAACATGTCATTAGTGAGGGTGAAGCCGTAGCCCTACACTAGCAGTAAGTGCGTGCGAGCATGCATGCATGTGTGTGTGTGTGTGTTTGTGTGTGTGCGGGTGTGTTTACCGTGTGCTTTGCTAAGACTGCGATGGGCTGCTATTGCAACAATTCCTGTCGTCTTCGCATCGTCAGTGTGGAACCTCTTGGCCCGAGATTTGGTGTACAGCGGTCACCTGAAGCCTTTTATCCTCTGGAACTCCAGTGTAGAAGCCTCCCCAAGTGTGGCAGCAAAGGTTGCAAGCCAAAACAGCCTATGCTGCTCTAAACTGCCAACAAAAACGAACCCTAACGCCAACTACAACCCCAAACCCTACAACCTGAGTACTGAACCCTAAACCCTGAACCCTAAACCCTCCCTTAATCCTGAATACTGAACCCTAAAGCCCAAAACCCCGCACCCCAAGCCCTCACGCCAATCCCCAGTCTGTTGGGGTCCGCCAGTGTGAAATTCGATACAATATATGGTATAATGTAAAAAAGAACATCATATATATACATATATATATGTATACATATACACATACTATGTATATGCATATATTATAGTCCGCTATGTACAGTATTAGTATGGTATACTAGCTGGGAGTCAGAGACTGTTCCTTCCCTCCTGGGTTTGTGGCACCTGTGGAATCCTGGACTTTGAAGCTATCTTGGGGCTTTGGGCATGCTACAGTTGACGATATAAATCCTAGGGTTCCTTTTAAAGGGATTCATAAGGGTACTATAAGGGATCTATAGGGATTTGGGTTTAGGGTTATGATATAGAAATCCTGCATTACCTTAAGGACCCTAAACTATGGGAATTATGGTATATTCCTTATTATGGGTAATGCAGGATTTATATCATCAACAGTAGTGCTATGGCGAGGGTTTCATTTGTCTGCTGTAGGGTTTACTCGCACTAAGGTTGCGGATTTCTTCGAATTTTGTTGGGTCATTCAGGATTCTTGTTCCGAAGATTCCTAAACCCTACACCCTAAACCCTAAATCACGATAGGGCGTTGTTCCGGATTCTTGGGACCCCTATTCCCTAAACCCTAAAACCCTAAAGCCCCAAAGCCTAAACCCTAAACCCTAAGTTCCGGATTCTTCGGAGCCCTCTTCGTTGATCCGAGCATGATGGTCCAGGCCTGGAACTGCGTCTGTTCTCCGGTGGTGCGGGCACCCTGCCTGTCTGATGTTGACGCTTTTAGGGTGTTAGGGTCTAAGGTTTAGGGTGTGGGGATTTTAGGGTTTAGGGTGTGGGGATTTTATGGTTTAGGGTGTGGAGGTTTTAGGGTCTAGGGCTTATAGGGTTTAGGGTTTTAGGGTTCAGGGTTTAGGGTGTGAGGTTTTTAGGGTTTAGGGTTTAGGGGTTTCAAGACTTCAGGGTTTAGGGTTTAGGGTGTAGGGGTTTTAGGGTTTAGGGTTTAGGGGTTTAGGGGTTTTAGGGGTTTTTGGGTTTGAATAGGGTGTGGGGGTTTCAAAACTTCAGGGCTTATGGTGGCACTTTGGTCCACTAGAGCCTGAACCTAGACTGGCACTGCAAACCCATCAATGAACAAGACTTCTGCGTTCAGCTTGCGATCCAGGCATGCAAAGTCTAGGACAAAGCTGAAATTATAAACCTCCTTGCCCTGTACCGGTAGGGGGTCAGGCTTGTAGAACTTCGAATGAGGGCCTTTTCGGGAGACAGGTAGACAGAGACGGAGAAGTTATATCTTATACATATAACCTTGAAGCCCCAGAAGAGCGTCACCCGACTAGAGTGTAAGTTCGGCTTTCCTGCTTGAGCAACTTCCAGCCCTCAAAGTCGTAAGCCCTTGTAACCCAAACCTCCTTGATAATCCAAGCTGTTCCACTATCACAAGAAGAACACATGAGCCTGACCGCCCAAAAACCACTGAAACTGCCGAAGCTGCCCGGTAAGAACCGCTCCACGACCAGGGGATAAATATCAATAAAGAAATATACAAATATAAAGAAATATATGAATATATGTATATACAAATAAAAAGCAAGTAAATACGTAAACAATCACATAAACAAAGACCAAATCTAATAAACAAACAAACAAACAAACACAAAAATAAAACAAACAAACACAAACACAAACAGAAACACAAACAACCAACCAAACAAACAAACACACAAACAAACAAACAAACAAACAAACAAACAAACACAAACACAAACACAAACACAAACAGAAACACAAACAACCAACCAAACAAACAAACACACAAACAAACAAACAAACAAACAAACAAACACACAAACAAACAAACAAACAAACAAACAAACAAACAAACAAACAAATAAACAAACAAACAAACAAGCAAACGAACGAACGAACACACAAACAACCAAACATACAAACAATCAAACACACAAACACTTAAACACGCAAACAAACAAACAGCCAAACACGCAAATGCACAAGTACATACATACATACATACATACATACATACATACATACATACATACATACATACATACATACATACATACATACACATATATCTATATCTATATATATACACACACATGTTCATTCCTGATCCTCCAAACTAAATCCTGAACAGCAAAACCCTAGATCCTAGCTAGACCCTGAACGCTAGATCCTAAACCCCAAGGGCCTAGGCCTTAAACTGTAGCTCAAAGGCTGAGGTGTTGGGGGATGAATCTAATTGTACCCAAGGCCCTGTAAACTCGAAACAAACCTGGGACCACCCTTTGAAACTCTACATAAAGCCACAAAATCAAAAACACAACAGACCCCACACCCCAACACCCCAAACATCCCCAAACCCCACTAAATCCCTGAGTCCCAAACCCCTCAAGCGAAAACTTAATAACCTAAAGCCCTACATCCCAAAAGCCCTAAATCCCTAAAGTTTGCACGCCCGAGCCCCCAGATTTCAAAACTGTCTGACACGCAAAAACCCAATAGGTTTGCTTAACCGAGGTGCATGAGCTCATCTATCCAAAACCCTAAACCTCACTACATGTTTTAGCCGAGGTGCATGAGCTCATCTGCAAAAGCTCTTGGGTCGAGACCAAAACGCCACTGCCACTCTCCAACACCGTCGGCCACACCTAGCAAGCTGAGTTCCTTTAATATACGGGCCTTCACAATTAGAACAGGGTTTAAGGGGTTTATGGTTTGGGGCTTCGGCCCTAATCACGTAACGTAGCGGCCTTGCTAGTTAGACTAGGGTTTTGGGGTACGGTAGAATAACTACAGTCAGGGCAGAGGATCTTTACTCCGAAATCTGGGATTTAGGAATTAGAGTCTTGGTTCTTGAATTTGGGGCTGAGGGTGTGCAGCCTTAGTGCTTCCAAGACTTGTGATTTAGATTAGGAATCAAGGCTTTGCGGGCAACCGTTAAAGCTGGGGTTTCAGAGTTTTGGTCGTTGTTGAGGCTTGGGGGGGGTTCCCAGAGACTCCAATATCCCTTATGTAAGGAATATACATTTAGTCACATTGGGGATCCAGCTGGAACCTAAGGTATATCCCTTAAGGGATATTACGGGTTCTGGGGTGTGGCAGTTCGTGGAGAAGGTCCCGGATGGACTTCTCTTAGTTAGTAAGTGAAAAGTGGAGTAACAAGCCTTAATTAGAATCAGAAGTAGGGTAAGCCGAATTAGAGTACAACGCCACCTCTAACTTGCTTACGAAGTCTTCTGAAGCCTGGAGTAGACTTTAGGTCGGCCTGCGCACGTTGTTTGCAGGTATATTGCATCCAGAGGTGATCTGTGGCTGCTAGTTATTGCCTGTTTGGATTGCAGATATGTACATATGATGCATATACAGACTTTTCTGTCTACGCACACACGTATGCAGACATGTAATTATCATAGTCGTATATGTATATGTATATATATAATGTGTATATATAGATATGAACATACGTAAAAGATACATGTACACACACACACATGCGCGCGCGTGTCAGTTACTTAGGTTCGGCTTCATTCGCAGAGGTAGCGCTTGAGGGATGTAGGTGAGGGATTGGTTTCAGGGCGCAGGATCCACGAGGCTCTGGCTTTGTTTAGCGTTAGGGTTTAGGTTAGGACCAACCTCCCTCTCTCCAAACTTTGTGTGGCTTCGTGCTTGGCCGCTTTTGGGTTTGGGTCTGAATGTGAAAAATTGAGGCGTCAGGCCTTCGGCACTATTGTGGATGACCCAAACTTCAGGTTATTCAGTATGTCTTCGACCTTGCACACAAACTACTCTCCCGAGTTTTGGAGAATAACCTAACGAAAACCTCGTGCAAAGGCACTGCAAAGTCTATGCATGCTGGCGCCATCATCATGGCTGTCCGGTGCTCCAAGCTCGCTGCAGCTTAATCAAAGATCGAAAGATACATGCCCGGAGGCTATAGCCACAAACGGCCACAGTTCTAAACCTATACAAAAAGGGCTTGAATAAATAGAATAGGGTTTAAGGGGGGCCATTGTACCATAACTTTAACATGGCACCACCAAAATAGTATTGGGAATTACTTAAGCACCTAGAGAAAATACCGAAACAGCCAAACTCGGCGACCCTGAAGTTCAAAATCCTATAATCTGTCGCACATCTTGCCTGCAGCGCTGCCGTTCGCACACAAGAAGTAGCTGTCTTCCCCGCCAGAGGACGCCTGCAAGCCAGTTCTCAGCGCCTTAGAACCTTTATGATATTGTTGATGGACAAAATCCTGCATGACCTTAAGGACCCTAAACTATGGGAACTATGGTATATTCCTTATAACGGATAATGCAGGATTTTGTCCATCAACAATAGCTTATGTAAGACTTATGACACCCTCACACCCTCAGATTATGCAAGCGTAGATGCCCGAACAATGATGGATCATACTGCAGATGCACCACGAGAGCACAACATGCACCCAAGCACGCACCCCACGGGCACGTGCAACCCTAACCCTCGTAACCCCTATGAAGCCTTTACATTCGACTCTCTCAAACGGGAATTTCCCAAAATTAAGGGTACCTTATATTGGGGTCCTTATGGTAAGGGTCCATACTATTTAGGGTACTATATTAGGGTCCCCTATTTTTCGGGAACTCCCAAATCTCTACTCAACTCTTTCTAGTTGGGCTTTAAGCCTTTCGGAAGGACATGCATTTCGATGCCTTCTGTGGGTGCGGCATCTGGTGGGAGCCACAAAGCAGCCTGAAGCCGCATTCCTGGGGGAGTCGTGGGCTCCATGCCCTAAGGGTGGTTGTCAAAATTAGGGACCCCTTTTTGGTTACCCCAAAAATAATAAGTCCCAAAAGAGGACCATAACTTTGACAACCACCCGTAAGGGTCCAAAGGTATCAGGAGGTTTATCGGGCGAAGGAGTCTGAAGAGTCCATAAAGGACCTTAATAATGGTTCTTTAAGGGTTCCTTTACAGGGTTCTATAAGAGGATCTAGAGTAGGGTTCCAAAATACAAGGGCCTTAATAATTAGAATAGGGTTTTGGGGCCCATTATACCATAACTATATTAAGGACCCGCCACCCCCCCGCAAAAAAAAAAAAAAACACAAGGATTGGTAATGAATTAGGCTCCCATATTGAAGGACCTTGCAATAGGTAGTGGGGTTGATAGCCGGGTGAACCCAACTGCAGCGAGTAACTGGGTTCCTCCCAATTCCGCGATGCCCTTTCAGGCTTCCTTATCTTGAGGGTCCTACGAATTAGGGTAGGTATTAGGGTCCTCAAGTTTCTTAACCTCCCAGTCAAACAAACCGCTTGAACCCGGAACCACTACACCTTATTTCTGTGCCTCTGCAAAGACATTGGTGCATGTTACAAAAGAAAGAGACAGGGAATGTAAGGGGATTAGTCTTGTTGCGAATTCTTCAGACCGCTGTATTACCACATGTTTCCCAGATCTGCTGCGGCCCAGCATCCGCTGGGGACACGGGGGGCATCTGTTCGCGACCTGATTGGCGACGAAATGTCACGGGCTCTGGCATTTTCGTGATATAGTGTCCTTATATTGACAATAGAGCTTGGTGTGTATCATCATTGTTCAGACCCCGGTATTGCTAGTACTTGCGTACTTCTTTATTGTGTTTAGGCTTAGTCTGGGCTTGATTTATCTTTGTTTTAGCTTCTCCTGTCAGTATGTACCAGCTCAGAAATTAGCGTTCAGTGTATGTTAAAGCGAAACCAGCGCCCGACAGCGAAGGATGGAGACAACCCTAAGAAGCAGTTGGAAATATCATGGGACGGTATCTAAAAAGAAACCTGTTGGTCCAGCCACTATCAGTGAGTGCAGCTTCTTGTGCTTTGTCCCTGTAGCAGATACTGCGACACTTGCTATCATAGCATGCAGCCTTTTATGCAAAGACCGAATAGCCAAACCTGCGAACCAAAACGCCAAAACCCGCAATCAAAACCTGCATGCAGCCCCAAACCCAAGCCCCCAAGCAACTCTAAAGCCTGTCCCAACCGCCGGAAACCCCAAACCTTCCCCTCTCAACCACCGAAACGTATATCCCCCAACGAGCGCCCCAAGCTCCAAAACCTCACCGGGGCCCCCACGGACATTCTGGAACAAGTCCAGCACATATTCCGGCCAATAAGCTGGCAGCCTTGCTCCGGGGGGCTGCAGGGATATGGGAGTTTTCCAAAAATGGTAGGGGACCCTAATATAATGCCCTGAATAGTAGGATCCGTGTTATAAGGACCCCACAATAAGGTATCTCTCATTTTCGAAAACTCCCATATTGGGGGGTCTTAGGTTAGGAGGGGCTCATGGCCTAGGATCTCGAGACCCTAAACCCTAGAGCCTCGAGGTGCTCTAGGAAATTTGACATGGTTTGCTTTTTTGGGGAGTTCCTTTTTCCATCTGCAAATTTGAAACGGTTTAGGGCATAGGGTTTTAGGGAATTTGGCAGAACTCTACAACCCTAAACCCCCTAAGCCTTGAACTTTCCACAGGTTCCAAAAGGTCTTTCGGCGAGGGCCGGGGTCGATGAGCCCTCAATGCCCCTTAAGCAAAGCAGATGCCTTGAACTCATCATCTTAAGGCTCTACTAGCTCTGACTATACTCCTTCAATTAGGCGGTACCAAATACCTTCAAAACATGACGCCCTGATAACTTCTGCATTAACCCATAATTAATCAGTATTTTTTTCTCTGGTTTCTCGGTCGGATTCAGAAGCTGACTAAACCCCAAACCCTGAACCACGGAGCTCAGGGAGACTGGTGGGCCTCCGTAACACCAAAGTTGGAACACGAACCGGGGAATGATGAAACCCTAAACCCCTAAACCCGCCTAAACCCTAAACCCCTAAACCCTACACCCCTAAACCCTATAAACTCTAAACCCCTAAACCCTACACCCCTAAACCCTATAAACTCTAAACCCCTAAACCCTACACCCCTAAACCCCATAAACTCTAAACCCCTAAACCCTACACCCCTAAACCCCATAAACTCTAAACCCCTAAACCCTACACCCCTAAACCCCATAAACCCTAAACCCCTAAACCCTACACCCCTAAACCCCATAAACTCTAAACCCCTAAACCCTACACCCCTACACCCCTAAACCCTAAACCCCTCAACCCTACACCCCTAAACCATAAACCGTAGTGTCGGGCTTAGGGCTTAGACTTAGGATTTCGGGTTCAATGCTCAGGGCCATAGAAACACCAATATCCCTCAATTAAGGAATATACCTTAAATCATATGGGGGATTCTACTATAATTTATATGGTATACTCCCTAATTAAGGAATAGTGGAGTCTCCAGGAATCTTATGGGCGCCTGCTTGCAGAAGACCGAAAAAACTCGCCAAGAAGGACTCTAGGCCCTTGCACTGATTCTACAGAAGACAAGCCTTTTAAAGAGGATGATCCTAGCTCTGCAACTAGCTGGAATAATGCCCTGGAACCGATTCAAAAGCAACGAGCTCCAGAAATCATCTTCCCAAATCCCCGAAACCTTAGGTTAGAGCTATGTAATGGGGCCGTAATAATTGAAACGCTTTAGGGTTTAAGATTTCGTGGCTCTACTATATAAGAAAAACCAGTCTTCCATGGTGCAAATCCATAAGCCCCGTGAAAACCAAACATGCTATACATCAACAACACAAATCAACACTGAATCAAAAGTATCCAAAGACTTCTGAGTAGGGTTGCCGAGACGGCCCACTCAGACGCAAGTGTTTTGCAATACTTCTGTGGTTTAGAAGATGCGAGGCATGCAGTCGGTATGCTGCCGCTAAACAACAACTGGATTGAGTGTCTAGTCTCGCGGCTTAGAGAATGCGAAACGGCATCATGCCTGCACCAGAACTACCGCTCAAACATCCAGGCTCCGGTGAAAATGCTTTAGCCAGGCGACTGACGTCCACATCCTGGAGGGTTTAGGGTTTAGGGTATTAGGGTGTAAAAGGCAGTCTATGAATGTATACTGCGGCTTACGGAACAACTCATGCATTACACAGAAGAAGACACATTCCATGTTCCTTGCCTTCAGAGTACTCAGGGTGGTGCAGGGTATTTTTCATCAGCACAAAGGAACAGGCAAATTCGACTAGTTGTCCGCGTTCAAAGGGATTTACTGAGGTTTTCCAGAAAATATACTACTACAGAGGTCCTCCTTAACGATTCAGTATCAACAGGCAGACCCGCAAAAAAATGAGGGTAGTAAGATACTCCTAAAAAGCCTGCGCAGCTGCAACAAGACAGCATCCCGTCTATGGGCTTGTCGTACGGTGAGGTTGCTGAAGACGGCTTTCCCTCAGGAAGCCCCAAAGAGGGTTTAAGGTTCAGGAGTTTAGAGGTTTAGGGGTTAATTAGGGCTTAGGGTTTGGAGCCTCAGTGGCGATAAGCGATGAGCATGGAATGCGCGCTGAAAGGGCACCCGGGTTTGGAAGAACGAGCATCTGGAACTTGCATTGGTTGTCCCTTCGAGATAGAGCGCTGTGCTCGCGCTCCGGCGAGGTCGTCATTGAAGCACAAAGATTGTCATGTTACATCATGACCATAGCCTACATCATAGAAACGGTTACACCGTTACACCTTCATAAAAAGGGCCTCGCACTAGATGCCCTTCATTGCAACGCATCCAACACTCGATCGTTCTTGGGTCTCGAACTTTCAATCCTCAGCCTCTTGAAGCCCTAAGCTGTAAACCGTAATTAAACGCTAAGCATGCTGCTCCAGCAATGCTTAAACCAAAACAAGTGCTGTTCGACATCAAAGGGTAAACATAGCCAAGGCTCTGATCTCCCTGAACCCCAAACCCCCAGAGACCCCAATATCCCTTGATGCAGGAATATAGTGGATTATACCTTTATAAGGATCCCTGATCTGATTTAAAGTAGATTCCTTGATCAAGGGATATTGGAGTGTCAAACATCTGCACCCGAAGCCCGAACGTCCTGGATACGTGCTCGCATGTGGGAAGAGTACGGTGCTTTTCGCTTCGCGCCCTGGGAGTTCGTGAGTTCGGATTGCATCGGCTTGGGTTTGGGATGCACATACGTAGGTAGATACTCTAGGGGCCTTAATACTTAGAATAGGTTTTGGGGGACATATTATATAAACTATTGCTACAATAAGGAACATCCAAAATAGTATTGGCAATTATTTAGGCCCTTACATTACGTACATACAGTGCGGATAGATTCATTGACAGACAAACCGAGAAACCACCAGGCTTGTAAGGTCACATGGCCTTCGGTGCTTTAGGGCTCTGGGAGAGGTAATTCAAGCTTTGAGGTGTCTCAATCCCCCCGCCTTGGCATCTGCTTCATTTCTTTGAGTTCTGTTTGTGGGTTCTGAGGGGCATCATCACCCTGACCATGTGCTGCATTCCCAATTCCACACAAGCTTTGTTCGTTGTGGCGTTAAAGCCAGGCCAGCAAGCCTGGAATTGGAAACCCTACATTCTAAACCTTCAACGATGAAGGGATAAAAACCCCGAAAGCCGGAACACTGAGTCCATTAACCCACAACTTTCAGGACTGAGGAATACTGACTCCTAACAACTGAATGCTGAACCTATAAGCCCTTCAAACTACTCCCTTGACCCTGGACAGAAGCCTGCATCAAAAGCACTCACACACGAAGCAGTCATGCACTGGGACAGAAAGCATCAACAGGATGAACAAAGCGGGGTGATAGCATGTTTAAGGCTTCAAGGCTAGGAATTTGGCCTTAGAGCTTTGGGATTTAGGGCTTATGCTTAACATCATGGCCTTAAGCTACGCAGTATGGTTGTCTTATGTGTGTGTATATATATATATATATATATATATATATATACATGTGCACGTACATACATAAGTATACATATACACGACGCCTTCAAGTATATATAGCGTGTACGCATGAACACACAGGCGCACTATCTTTATATATATATATATATATATATATATATATACACATAAGATGTAGAACAATACATACGGACAATGTCCAGAAATAGAGAAATACACGACCAAATCATGTATGTATGTAAGTGTGTATGTATGCTTGTATGTATGTATATGCATATATATATATATATAAGTATGTATGTATGTATGTATGTATGTATGTATGTATGTATGTATGTATGTATGTATGTATGTATGTATGTATGTATGTATGTGTGTGTGTTTGTACATATATGTGTGTATATATATACACATATTCCATGCAGGCATACATACATATACACACACAGAGAGTTTATACAAACAAGTTGATGTGTGTACCTCGCGCGCTGTACTAGGAATTTGCTTTTGCCGGGCCGGATCAGACCCCGGATCACATCGGGCTGATTCTCGTCCTTCTCCCTGACTGGCTTGAAAAGAGAGAGGGAGGGAGAGAGAGAGAGAGAGAGAGAGAGAGAGACAGAGAGAGAGAGAGAGATATACACATATACATATGTATATATATATATATATATATATATATATATAGATACAGATAGATAGATAGAGAGCAATGGAGACAGAGGGAGAGGCAGAGAGCCCGTGCTGTGGGCATCCGATCGGACTCCAAAGCTTAGGCATCTGCACTGCGGAAGTTGGGATTTTGGGCTGCTGGAACTGAAAAGCAGCACGGCGACGCCGGGGCTGACGTAACACAGGAAAGGAGCTCGGTCCCACACAGAACTCCAGAACAGCAGGCGCGACTGAAGTGCTTGTTTCGGGAGCCTTCCCTCCCAACGCTGCATGGAGGCAACACCGGCAACTATTACAAGTTCTCCGGCTTGTCCTGAGTCCCCCAGTGGGCGCCTTAGCCCATTGCCCCACTGTCATGCGCGTGAGCACGCACGTTGGCCGAAAGGGACTCCGAGTTTTCACTCCCATGCAGCGCGCCCCGCACCCGGCCAGCGGTGCGCAAGCTGTTAAGAATAACAATCTTTGACAGCCTGTGGGTGAGGCGGAAGTTTGTGGAATTACATTCCCCACCAATCACAAGATCGACCGAGATCTTGCTGAAAGCCCCAACTAGATACATGCACCAGCCGTCCTCGGCTCATCCGAACTATCGAAGATCCGAGCGCAGTACTCAGACCTTCGTGCGATAGTGTTCAACGAGTCTTCCCTCGCAAGGTACACTCTCGCGAACCTATTCTTCCTATTCCGTGGCAAGAGTGCATGATCTACTCCGGCAGCAAAACGAGGCCAAAGTGTGAAAGAAGCCCAGGTGCGCGTGGAAGGACGGCAATGCTCTACATCTCCCCTCGTGCACGGCATCGCAACAAGATTTCGCCGGGCTCCTCTTCTCTTCAGCCTTTAGGGTTTAGGGTGAACCTAGACCCCCCAAATACCCTTTATTGTAGCCCCAAACTACCTCTTAATGAGAAATAGTATATTCCTTTCAACGGTTGGGGGGTTCTGGAAAACCCACCCGAAAGCTGAAACCCAGTCCTCGAGGCAACACTGAAAGCAGTGCACTTCTCTTCTCAATCCCATGAAGCGCCTCTTAAGCCCTGCTGAGCCAACCCGAACGTCCTCAGCCTTAGTTTAGCCTTCGAGGGTTGCCTTGTATAGGGGCCTTGACCCTATGCAAACCCAGACGCTAGGTTGTGACTTGTTTTTGATAGTCCTTTCTCTGCGTATGATATGAGAAGCAAAGTACCGCGATTCAGGGTCAGTTAGCCCTGAAACCCCAAACCGACACCCCAGGGAACCCGAGCACCCTAACTCCGAACATAAACGGATGATAAGATTTCCCCATGTAGTGTGTAACGCATAGGCTCCATAGTAGTTCCTTTTTAGGATTACCTTCTAGGATTCTTCATATGAGCCCCAAAAAGGAACTACTATGGAGCCTCTAGCTAACCCATGACCACTATCCACAACTCAAAACCAATAGATCAACATCCTTGGGGCTCGGACGCATCTTGGGCACATCCTGAATGGCTGTGAAAAGCGAGGTGAGGCCCTCAACACTATCGCTGAAGCCCCGAAGCCCTAAACCCTGAAGTGCAGATCCTAAAACCTACACCCCTGCAATGACCCTCTATGCCTCAAGCCCTAACGCTAAACCACGGGCGATGTCATACTCTAGGAGGGAAGATAGGAATTAGGTTCAGGATTTATAAACTGAAGGATTTAGGGTCTCGGGTTCAGGGTCGAGGGTTTAGGGGGCTTGGAGTCTAGAATTTGGGTTCAAGGTTTAGGGTGTAACCTAAGAGACCAGGTATCTCCCCTTTCGGGAAGATCAGAAACTCGAGATTTGGGGGTCGCAAGACTTTAGCGACTAGCGACTAGAGCTTGAATGGTCTGCTAGCAACCCTAGGCCCTAAATTCCTAAACCGTAGGCAAGGTTTTCGTTGGCAAGGTTTAGGGCTTGAATGGTTTAGGCCTTTCAGGAGGCTTTGGGACAAATTGCTACTTTAGATACGTCTTTCATCAAGCACAACCTCAAAGCCCCAGAAGTACACAGGGCTGAGGGTTTGGGGTTGCAGGGTCAGGGGTTTAGGGAACTACAACGAACTAGCCTAAATCTCAATTCTTAAAGACCTGGCCTGCACCCGAGCAACCCAAACCGGAAGTTGTACTCCCAAACCTCCGAGATTCTGCATCCTAAACTCCACATGATTGAATCAGCCTATGTTGCAAAATGCGACAAGATCCAACTCCAAACACCACTTGTTCAGGATAAAGCTTCAGCAATTCGGGCATAGCAGGTCTACTTGGGAGGATCATGGGGCATAGTAATAATGGGTATAGGGTGCCTTATCCGTAACCCTAGACACTAAGTCCGTGATCCTTCAAACATGGTATGGACTTGTTATCCTAGGTTCGTCCTTGCTGTTGAAGCTGAAGCCTCAACGTTCTCAAGCTCTACTTGGAGGGTCTGGGGACCTATTAAGTACCTATTTTCATAGAGCAACACGTACCACAACCCCAATCAGGGTCCCTAAACAGGGTACCTATAACTCCAATTACTTGTTACCTACTTACTAAGTCCCCTGACCCTCCAAGTACTATCAACCCAGCACGCCAGTCTTGAGCACTTGACCCTCCGAGCCTACACACTTTCCATTACAGCTCCGGTCGTGTTCAACCAGAATACCTGAATCCCATCCTTGTGCGAAACCCTACATTCCGGCCAATTCGCCTGACTTCTAAGCAGCATGTTCAACCAACGTCAGGCCTTTCTCAGCGTAGTCTGCATGGGGAACCCTATACTCAAGCACCTGCACCCCGGAACACTGAACCCTGACCCTGCGCAAACCCAAAATCCTGAATCCTTCTGGGTCCCGCTCTGAGGCAGGCGAATAATCCTGCACGCCCTTCTTCTTCTTCTCATCGGACTGGCAATGGTGCATTAGGGGGTTTAGAGTCTCTTTTGAGTTTGGGGTTAATTAAGGGCTTGCATAACAGGATTAGACTCAGCAACAAATCAGAGGAATTTTGTATTTGGCCTTGAAGTAGACTTGCCTCCGTTTTATATTGCTACTACCGTAGTACGCGTGTTGCTCGTGCGTCTGATCCTTGAGTAGGCACTTCCTATGCGCCCCGCAGCTATCCTCCATCGCCTACATAATCACCCAAAGGGACACGTAGAATCGGCTAAAGGCCTAGGGGCAGCTCAGGTCTTATCTTGCTGTTCAAGCTTTGGCGCTAGATGGGCAGTTCTCTAAACTAAGAATCCTTTGTATAAGGATGCCGTACTGCTTTGGGGACGTAAAGGGGGGACTAATTCAGAGAACTGCCGAAATAGCTTAGGGAGGCCAAGAGAAAGAACCCTAAAGCAAACCTCGAGTGTGTTGAATCTCCACACTCGAAACTGCTTCGAGCCATACTACACCCAAAGGATTTATTACAATTGTCCCCAACCCCCAAACCCTAAACGCGATCCCTAATAAATGTGTTTATGCCTGTATTACGTATGCATGTACGGATGAACGGATGGATTGATGGATCGATGGATAGATGTCTGCGTGTATGTGTGGTTGCACCAACATAGATATACGTGCATACATGCATACATACATGTACAAACATATATATATATATATACACATGCTACATAATATATACGCAATAATGTATGGATCTTTCTATCTATATATGTATCTATGTTTTTATGCACCCATAATATTTGCGTTAATGCATCCATGCATGTATGCACGTATATATATATATATATATATATATATATGTGTGTGTGTGTGTGTGCGCGCGAATGTGCACAAGCCGGCATGCAGGTATTCACATGCGCTTGCATGATACATTGATAATGTAGCCGTGAAGCAGTAACATTATACGCATGAATGTCTGGAGTATACCTATATAAGTATACATAACTCTCCCTATACACATTAAATGTTCATAGTTATCTTCTACAGAGGAAACCCCAAGGGTCCAAAGGACCCAATAATTAGGTACTGTACTCGGTTTTAGGACAGTAGTTACGGAGGTTACTATTCTGGAGAGTATATGATGATTAGGTGCTTGGACCCTTAGGGTTAGCTAAAGAACTGGGCACAATAAGGACCTAATAAGCCCTACTTAAGGAAATATAGTCTCCTACCCCAAGGGCCGTCTGATATACATAACTTAAAAAGAGTATAGTTACCTTATACAAGAAGCGAAGCTTCCCAGCCTTCTTCAGAGCTTCCTTTAAACTCAGTTCTTTGTTGACGGCGGCAGGTGCGGAAATCTGCCTGAGACACAGACAAGCCCAAAGAGCCTTTGGACCCCCCCTAAAGCCTAAACCCCGGAACCGAACTCATAACTAAACCCTACCAGGACCCCAAATAGCCTACGCGCCTAGGGTTCCTGATATTCTTTTCTTGCACCAGGCCTTTAAAAGATGTGAAATTCGTGGTCAGGGTAGGCCCTGAAACAGGCCCTTCTGTGGAGTGCCCCGCTTTGGCCCAAAAGCCCTTTGAAGCCTGACCCATCTCCGCAAGCACCTGGGTAGTGTGGTTTAGGGTTTAGGGTAGGATGCCCAAGTTCGGAAGAACCTTGTGGGGCGAGTGGGGAATTTGGGGCCTGCCGAGCAGAGCCAAGCATAACTCGAAACGGACCGGATCAAATTTGTTACTACATTATTCCGGCTCCTACATCTAACCATGAGCTCTACACCCCGAGACATACGTCCCTAGCCTTGATCTCGAAACCCTGACCTTCAAACGACTTCCAGAAATGAGCGACCCCAATGTAGAACCGAGGGAATGACACCGAACGAAAGTGCTGGAATCTCAAGAAACCGTGTAAAACTCCTGACAGAAACTGACTCCTTTAGTAACTTAAATGCATGGAACCCCAAGCACAAATTCCAAATGCCAGGGCACCGATTGAAAGAATGGGTCTCGTGCTCCAGATCGTTGACTTCGTCCTTTGGCTCCTTCTGAACGCAAGTGTGCAACTGTAGGGGCTTCTATAGTCAGGGCAAGGAATTTGTAGGGTTCCTTCAAGCCTAAATTAACTAGACTAGAGTTGTCGGAGTTCTATACGTTAGGTACATGAGGGAACGGTAGGAGTGATACGTAGTCAGAGTTCTTTCAAGTTTCGTTTGTATTAGAGGGCGGCAGCTTGCCTGACCCAATTTCTATAAATGCTTAATCTTAATTACACTCTTTTGTGGTTCCTTATGATAATAGTTGTAGTATATGCAATGGGCCCAAAACCCTATTCTAGTCATTAAGGCCCCTATGTTACGTTGCCTCTTCGAAGACTTCAAGGGCTTCTGAAACGGCAGCTCGCCTTGCGACTCGAACTCATCATCCCAGCTTCGGCCCTAAGCCGGAAAGCCAAAGAAATGCCAATTCCCCAAATCCTGAAGCTCAAAGCCTAAAGCAAAAACCTCCTAAACCCTGTTATAAGGTCGGTCTAAGGCTTAGAGTCTAAGGATACTCAGCAAATCCCGAAGCAGATCTCCAAGTCAAGCCTAAAGCCAGTCAAAACGAGGAAAGAGGAGATGCCACAGTCGCTAAACCCCAAACCCAGATTCGGGGTTTTAGGGGTTTAGGGTTTAGGGGTCCTATAAAGGGTGGTGTAAGGGTTCCTTTAAGGCTGTAGGGTTTAGGGGTTTAGGGGCTCCCTTCCCAGACCATCGGGAGGATCCAAAAAGTAGATCCTTTAATGGCGGTTCCTGTACCCTTCGTAGTATAGGGCCCCAAATTAGGGGATCTACTTTCCAGATCCTCCGGGGGTCTGGGAACCCTAAACCGTGTCAAAAGCATTGTTCTTGCCGGATGTTTGCTTAATTGGTTTTGGGCGGCTTTTGGCTTTTGTCTTGCGGGATATGAAGGCGACGAGCTTGGAGCGTTTCAGCCTAAGCCTTTAGGCTTCTGGGGCTTTGGGGCTTCTAGCTTGTCGGCGTGGGTTTAGAAGCCTTCCGTGCCGTGGGGATTTAGGATTGGGCTTTAGGGTGCCTATACGGCTCGGGCGTTTACGAGATTTTGGTTTAGGCCCTAAACCCTAAACCCCTAAACCCTAAACCCCTAAACCCCTAAACCCTAAACCCTAAAATCGCTCCTGCAACTCTTTTGGCAGGGGCAACGGAGTAGGAGTGGACGGTGTCTTCTCATTCTGTGCGACGGTCGGAAGGGATCGATACGCTAGGTTCCCGACGGACTCGTTATTAGACTACGGGCGCCGGCTTTCCTACTATTTAGTCTTGACAAGGAGGCGCCAGGACAAGAAGAAACCCTACCGATAGTCTTCATTGTAGTTCCCTTTTTGGGTTACCTTTTGGGATCTCAGCCATAAAAACGGTTTAACCAACAAAGAGGAAATACAACGGGGACTATTGGTAACCCCTACAAAACGTGAAGAGTAAAGGTAAGGCTACTTCTGGGGCCAATTACAATCCTTGCAGGCGCAGTTTTCGCAGGGATCCTGACTGAACAAGGGACCCTGCTCCAAAGAGCTTTGTGGGCAGAACTAGGGTTTAGGCTTGGGGTTCAGACCCCGATGTGTTAGGTCGTTGAGTTCCTACGGTGCCGAGTGCACTAGTCGAAGTAAGCATCACAAACCTCCTCCATCAGTGTGTATACGCATACTACACGGAATTGTCCATTTATGCGCCTTGGCGAAGGAGCCTGTTCCGGTTTCAACGCCCCCCCCCCCCCCTGATGAATCTGTCAGACTTCAGCTGAGGGTTATCGAAATGCTCGGCCCAACATGTCTGCAGCATCCCGCCTTCTGATCGAACACCGATGCCTAAATCCCGAGTCCCTCAATGGGAATACCCACCTGGCTAAAGAACAAGATCCTCAAGTAAGTACAAGTATGGTTGATGGTATAAACCCTGCATTACCTTAAGGAGCCTAAACTATGGGAATTATGGTATATTCCTTATTACGGGTAATGCAGGATTTATATCATCAGCCGAAGTACCGAGGCTGCTAAAGTTGATCATGGCATTGTGTAGCCGCCCTAGGCTTCTGTCATAGGGATCCTTAGGGGTGTAGGGGGAGGGGGGGTAGGGGGCCTTAAGGCCCATAATAAGGACTAATAAGGCCTATTTAAGGAAATATAGTCCCCTACACCCCTCCCCCCTACACCCCTAAGGATCCCTATGATTCTGGTGACTGAGCTTTCAACTTCAGCCCCATACCTGAAAAGAGCCACAACACACCTCCGTGAAGAGATAATGGAGGAACCTTGAGAGTTAGAATAGGGCTTGGGGGTATCTTATACGATAAGTATGAAAACTAATCCCCAGAACCCTATTCTAAATTCTTAAGGCCCCTACATTAGAGTCTTTAGGATTTATAGGACCCGGAGCATCTTGGGCGCTGAGCTGGGAAAGTGTTGATCGGCCGTCCAGTTTTGTCATGCAGCCCTTAAAGGACTTGACCCCGCCAAGACCCACCAGCTACCTTCTTTCGTCGTAACTCTTAAACTTTAGCCCTGAACCACATAAACCGTTATAATCAAACTCCTAACCCATATAAGCTCTTACTCTTACGACACCTAACTCACGATCAAACTCATTCATGAAGCCGTAAAGCCTACAAGCCCTTCGAAACTGCTGAAACCCTGCACAATCTTCCAAACCCCCATAAAGCTTAGCTGATGACCCCTCGCGAACCCCTGTACAGCCCATGAGTCCTTATGAGCCCCGATCAAAAATCTGAAAAAAGTCCTCATAAACCTGTATGGCCCTCATAAGCCATTGTGCACCCTTAAAAAATCCGCATAGACCAATTGACCCCCTACAAACCCCTACCTTCAACCTAAACACTTTCAGAGCCTCACCCCGGGATTGCCGCAGCTTCTTGCGGAGGAGAAATTTGAGGGAGGCTTGGGCGTGGACCTGATTCCAGCGAGGCCTAGGGTTTGGTTACGGGGTTAATTTAGGCTTTATAGGAGTTTAGGGGTTTAGGGTTTAGGGGTTAGGGTTTTGGGGTTTAGGGTTTACGGGTTTAGGGTCTAGGGGTTTAAAGTTTTAGGGTTTAGGGCTTTAATTTAGGGTCTTCGGGTTAAGGGCTTAGGGTTCAGGGGTTCGGGGATCCGGGGGAGACCGGTACCTTGACCGACCGAAACCTACTTTTTTGCTCCTGTTATGAACACTCACAAACCTACGTGAAAGGAGGTTTCGGTCGTTTAAGGTACTCCTCTTTTTTTGTAAGAGCCATCATAATCAAAAGAACAAAAGTATATCTATATATATATATATATATAGGGTCCCTTATAAATAAGGAAAATAAAAAATGTCCCAAAATCCAACCTAGTAGATCACTATTCAAGCTTCTATGTCAGGCTCGGATTCAGAGTTCTACAGGACTTGGGTTTCGTTGCTACCCCAAGGGTCCAAGGACCCAATAATTAGGTACTCGGTTTTAGGATAGTAGTTTAGGGTTTAGGGTTTAGGGGTTGTAGGGTTTAGGGTTTGTTACGTAGGTTACTACTTTGGAGAATACATGATAATTAGGTGCTTGGACCCTTAGGGTTAGCTAAAGAACTGGGCTCTCTCTGCCGCCTTTCGTTGCATCTCAGGCTTTTGAGGTCGAAGGGACGTCGACCTCTGAGGCCGTTCCTAAAGCAGGCCTTCTATCCACCCTTGTCCTTTAGACCCAAGAGTAACCTAGGAATAAAAAGGGTGCCCTTTTTGGTTTAAAGGGGCTTATAAGGGAACCTAAACCCTAAAAAAGGGAATAAGGGCCTACTCTGGGTCCTAGTCCTTTTAGAAGTAATAGACAGAGCCCTATACCTATATCCCTTAGTAGGAATTATTTAAGGAGGTCTCCTAGCCGGTCTGTTTATTCTTTTGGGGGAACCATGAAAAAGGACAAGGCCGCTTCTATCAAGGCACGCCAGGGTTTACAGTAGAAGCCTAAAAGTTGGAAACCCAATAGCCTCAATCCTCAAGAGTGATGTATAGGGAATCCCAGCACTATTTGGACTTTATCCGGTTTCCAACGTTCTGGGGCTTACTGTAGGGCTTAGGTAGGCACCTAGGCTCAGAAAGAAGAGTTTGATTCGAGGACGGCCAAGCTCAAACTATCACAACCATTTTTCTGGATGGTCTTAACAGGAAAATCCACATCTTGACTCTGTTACGGTCCCTACAAACAAACAGATCCTATACGTTTTAAGGTCGTGGCCGAATGTGCGTTCAGAGTGTGAGTTTGGTTTCGGGAGACTCTTCGACGCCGGAATCCTACGCCCTAAACCCCCCTCTCAACCCTTATACCCTACACGCGATATTCCTAAATACATACCCCAAGCCCTAAAGCTATAAACCTGTAACACCTAAGCCTGGATGGACGGAGTCAGGGCTGCCTGCAGGTGGCTCGTGCCGGCCACAAGCTTCTGAAGCTGGAACGCCAAGACTTCGTCGCCACGCGCCTGCGGGACTTTGGTTCCAGGGTTTGGGGGTTTAAGGAAGAGGAGTTGAAGGGTTTAGAGCTACCGCAGTTGGGAACTTCAGGTCTTAACTGAGGATTGCCATTTAGGGTTTAAGTTCCTAGGGTGTGGGGTGCAGGTTTGTTGTGGATTTGCGCTAGCGCTTGCTTTCACTACTGTCCCAGGATTTCGTTGGGGTTCGTGTGACATGAGGAACATCTTGGAGCAGGAGTGCTTCGGGGGACCTCGCGAGATCGCGAAACTGGGAGTTTGCAAGGAAAAGTTGCAGTGTGGCCTCGGCGGTTTTGGAAACACAACCAATGTCTAAGCATGCTCACACACGAGACAAATGAACACCCTAAAACCCAAACCCCTAAACCTTATAAACCCTAAAACCCCCTAAACCTCAAACCCCTAAAGCCTCTAAACCCCTAATTAATGCCCCCGCCACAGCCCTTAGCCTAAATCCTAAGGCACGAAAAGGCCACGCCTTGAATGAACCCTCTAACTCGCCAGTGTGGTCCGAAAACCCTGAACTCCAAGGCCCCCCAACCCGAAGCTGTAACTCCAAGGCCCCCTGTAGTCACGAGCGCCGTCGTGATTAGAATATAGTGAGGTTTTGTGGAATTTTCCGAAACTGCCACGTTTTTAAAAAATGAGCGCTCGGGAGTGGTATATCGACTCTAGACCCTGAAGACCGCAACCCTAAAGCCCCAAACCCTCGGTTCCTGTAATGGTCCCTTAGAGCCTCCGGGAAAGCTTCAGGGCTCTTGTCCAAAAGCGTGTTTGTCTTCGATTTTGCACACATCTTTCTGCCACTCCTGATGCGAAGTAGGGCTTAGTTAGTAAAAGTTTTTCGGGCTTTGGGGCTTACCTGCAGTTTAAGCCTTTAAAGTTCAGCTTTCAGGGAAATATAGGGCTCAAAACTGGTATCACCGCATCAGCTTCTTTCAGGAATCCCAGGTACTGCTCGGGCTCGAGGTTGCTGGGTTTAGTGTCTCAAGCTTTGGGTGTGGTTTGTTTGGTGGGTTTGGAACTTAGGGTGTAGGGTTTAGGTTTTAGGGTTTAGGGGTTTAGGGTTTGTTTGGTGGGTTTGGAACAGTCGTTACTTGGACTTTGAATCCAATTGTGGCTCGAGTTTACCATTGGGGGGGGAGGGGCTTGCTTTTGAGTTTGCCCTTGCTGATCTTGTGGTTGACGGTTTGTTTCTCACTAGGGGGGGCTTGGTTGCTGCTTGGCTTCATTGGTGAGACGTAACCACCTTTGTAGTAACTAACAGTAACGAGATATTGATTCTAAGCATCATACAGTAGTGGTTCTGGCCATAGTGATTTTCATTTCAAGAACACAACGATAGTACTGATATTCGCAATAACAAGATTTACAACACTTATCATTGCGATAAGCTTTTATAGGGTTTCTTTGGGGTGGGGCTCACCGGTGATTTTTGTGTTTAGGGTCCATACATGTTTGAAGTTGTTTTATTGGTTGGAAGAATATGGGTGCTTGGCTGCATGACAGAAGACGAGAAGCGCTAGCGATCGGCGTCGTCACGGCCGTCGTTGAAGCACGCAGTTGCATTTATGTCTGGCGTCTGTTTCGGCTACTTGTCACATCCAACACCCTCAAAGCCCTAAACCCTAAACCCCTCACGACTACTTGTCACATCCAAAATCCGCAAAACCCTAAACCCTAAACCCTTACTTGTTACATCCAAAATCCCCAAAACCCTAAACCAGAAAACCCTTCACACTCTGAGCCGCAACATCCTCCAAATGCCCGGATTCAGACGCAGGATGACTACAAGAAGGGTGGCTGCAGATTGACGAGACCGGGGACGAGCCGAGTACCCCATGATTCAGGAATAGAGGATTTGGTAGCGCGTAACACGGTGGTATACCCCTTACAGATTAATCCAGGGATATGCCCGAAATTAAAAAAAGGCCCCCAACAATTTCAGGCATGTTCCTCAACTAAGGGGTATTGGGCTGTGCGGCCCCCTGGGCTTCCGACGGATTGTGCGTAGGCACGGTCCGAGAGATCAACCAATAGAATTCGCACAACTGCTGACGCGCCGGTCTGTCCCGATCCCCAAGCCGGTTTCAGGACACGTGGTTTTGGAACGTAGCTCTAGACCTTGAGGATCAAAGCTTGGACCTTAGATCCAGCTCTGCTTGTGTTGCGTTGGACCTGTGAACGTTGCAATGGCACGTCCTTGCTCGAGCCCGAGTGTACGCGGGGAGGCGACAGATCGCAGCTGCATATCAAGACAGGTGGGAGCTAATATATTGAAATTGAATAAGCATATATAATATGTATATGTCCACACACACACATCCGTATACTCAGTATGTGTATATATATACACACACACATACATATACGTACTCTAGATCCTGATTGAAAAGCCTCCCAACAAGATGATATGTTGACCGGCTTGTCCCCGTCACAGTCGTTTTCTTAATTGTAGCCAGCAGTAGCAGTAGCGGTAGGGGTAGCTGTAGACAGTAGCAGTAGCAGCAGCAGAAGCAGAGAAGCAAAAGCAGTAGCAGTAGCAGTTACAGTTGCAGGAGCATCAGTAGTAGTAGTCGTCGTCGTATGGTGGGCGTGATGGAACTGGATGTAGGCTTGCAGGGCATAACCTTCACACCCTGCGCACACGGGTCCAAGGAACCCCGACAAATACCAAAAGAAAGGGTCATGGGCGATGGGCTGCGACAGAATATGAGTGGGGACGGCAAAGGAACAGCATCATGTGCAAGTCACGGACTGCCACCGTACGTCAAAGCCTTTGTTTGAGAGGAACATGTTAGAATATATTCTGATATACTGTAATGTACTACAATATGACAAAAAATCAACTATATAATCTAATTTACAATGTACTAAAAGATACCAATATTCACTAGAACAGAGTCAAAGCATTTCGTTTACAGGGTACGAGTGTCGTTCCCCACCCGGACGGCTCGGGACCCCAAGGTCTAAGGTCAGGTGTCTTAAGGCTTAGGGATGTATGTTCTAGCCTGCTGTTCTAGTATATTCTTTTGGAATATTTCAGTTATTAGGATTACGGTATTTTCAATAGTCTGCTGTGATACGTTCTAGAAAGCTATTTGGTATATTTCAAACATTAGTATTCTGGCTCAATTTCTCTATATTTCAGTTATTAGTGTCATGGTACATGTTCAATATATTTAAGTGTATCAGTTTAGGGTTCAGGGTCGAGGATCTCAGCTCGCGTGGTTTAGGGTCAAAGGTGAGGACCTTGTACCGAAAGCCCTGCTCGCTGAGAGAGCCCCCCTAAGGTAGGGGCCTCAATAATTAGAGAGGTTTTTTGTGTTTCATGGTTCCAAACGGGTTCTAGCTTCAAGCTTCAACGTGAAACTTCTAATAATTAGAATATGGTTTGGGGGTATATTATACTATAACCAAAATAAGGACCCCCCAAAATCGAATTCTAACTATTCAGGCCCCTACATTAAATATCCAGGAGTCTGCAAAAGCAAGAGCCTCTGCATTGCCATAGGATGCCTGGTGCAAAGGTAGGGCTTTCGATTTAGGGTTCAGGGTGTAAGATCTTATGACATGACCCAGCTCAGCACAACTATTAGGGCATGGGGCAGCTGATGCCACAATCCTGTCACCAATACTGGCACTCCGCAGGCGTGCCCTCTTCTGCATAGGAGCAGCCCATGGTATTTGCGATAAGGTTGTGAAGGAAGTGGAATGACAGCCAGAGGTAAAATGGGTACATGCGCCCTTCAGTTAGGGGAACCAATTGAATTGAGTCACTTGAGGTCCATCATTGAATCATAGTATGCTTAAATCGGGGCAGTAAGGAAACAGCATTCTATATGTTGAACAGATTTAGGTATGGTATTGGCAGTATGAGCTCCCAGCGTAAAGGACGAGCACAGAAACAATATGCTGAAAACCTAGACCCTCCATCAACCCTCTATTAGACCCTAAATACCTAAACCCTAAACCCTAAACCCAATATACCGGGTGCTGGTAGATTCTCTTATTTCCCGGCAGATCCTCCCTCGCAGATCTTGGAGAACCTCAATCACGGATCACAAACACACTAAACTGCATTTACCGAGGCTTCACTAAGATTAAAGGATTTCGGGGTTAGGTATATAAGTCATATAACTATACACATACTTGAAGGGGAAGCTGTTACGATTGTTCCGGCAGCAGCGTTGTATCATTCTTTACACTCCAGTGGGGACAAATCCTCACACCACGAAAACCTCAAATCATGGATCAAAACAACAAACCACAGACTGCTATCGCCATGAGTCCCCCAAACCCCAGAAACTCTGAAGCACAAGAGGCTAGATTTTTTCGACAGTTGGACGGCTTCCAACTATTACCACGAGAAAGAGTACAATTACATCTGAACATTCTGAACCATACACTCCTACCTAAGCACACAATCCTAACCTTGATCAAGGCCGAAGCAACCAACCCGAGTGTATTCTACATCCTCCCCCTCCGACATATACAGCCTAAACCCTAAACCCTATACCCTAAACCCTAAACCCTAAACCCTACCATTACCTCAGCACCCAGAAGCCCGGAACTCTTTGGACACGACTCCCCGAAACCCCAAGACGCCGATGCCTGCGAACGCTAGGCCCGCGTATCTGTGTCTATAGAGGACTGAACCATCACTAGTTATCGTTTTAGAGTCACGTAATAGTAACAGAAGTAAGATGTAAGCACTGAAACCTAGATAAGTCTCAGGGTTCCTTAATATCTTGCAAGTAACAAACAACATGATAGTATGGAATAATGTGCCCTGCGAAAGGAGCCGGTCGAAGGCCTCTCTGGATGCTTGCGCTTGTTCTGCTTCAACCTCGAAACATCAGATTGCTTCCGTGTGCGGGAGTCTCTATTACCCCAAGGGTCCAAAGGACACAATAATTAGGTACTCGGTTTTAGGATAGTAGTTATGTAGGTTAGGATTTTGGAGAGTATGTGAGTATCAGATACTTGGACCCTTGGGTTTAAAACATCCTCCTAGACCCCCAACTACACTCTACTATACCCAATATAACCAGCATGAAGGACGATGAAGGGGGTTTGGGGGGTCCTGGTGTTTTTGGGGGCACTTTGCTCGGAAGTGTCTACTACGAACAGACTGTCTAAGCTCTGAGCCTAGCCCAGAAACACATCCTGCAAGCCTATAGGGCACAAACGTATATACCGCAAACCCCAGTACCCTAAAACCCCAAAACCCTAAATTAACCCGATTCCTCCTATCCTCTGAGCCGAAAGTCAGGGAGCCCCAGCCCGACCCACATGGACGTGACCCATTTCCAAAAGACTTATTCTCTAAACCACTCTTTGCCTCTCTATCACACTCTATAACACCCTATAACCCTCTATAACACTCTAAAACACTCTAAGACACCCCAAAACGGTCGAAGACACTCGAGTCCGCTCTAAACCACTCTTAACACTCAGATCAGCTCGAAAGCAGTCTAAGCCGCTCGATGGTTTTCGAGTGGAAGGGGGCCAGGCTTCATCGGTCAATCGGAACGAGAGGGAGCATCGCCATTGCTTTGTGCCCGCGACTCGTCATCGGCTCTAGAATCAGCAAGTATGAGCGAACTTTTCTGGGAACGGCGGCGCATCCTGGAGGGGAGGGGGCGAGGGAGCCCCACTCAAAGTCGCTCGAAATCGCTCGAGAAGCTTTGAGCAGGAACTGGGTCACGTGCCCGATCCCTGTGAAGGGTTCACAATTTTGGACGTGACCCAGTTTCAACTCTAAATCGCTCGAAACTGCTCTGCCCCAAACTC